GGCGTGCTTTACACCATTGCATCCGACGCTTTGCATTGCACTTGGTGATGTGTGGCTTGGCTGCAGCTGCTCGGCCATGGAAACCCATTCCATGAAGCTCTCTGCGTACTGTACTTGGGCTAATCTGAAGGTCACATGAAGTTTGTAGCTCTGTAGCAATTGACTGTGCAGAAAGTCGGCGACCTCTTTGCACTTTATACACCTGTGGCCAGGCCAAGGGATTAGGACACCTGATTCTGATCATTTGAATGGGTGAGCGAATACTTTTGGTAATATAGTGTATATGTCAGGATTTATACTTCAATGCTAACCTGGAGCTGACAGCTACTGGGTCCAGTTTTTACTGGTAAACATATTGTATCCACCCAGAAACATGTTGCCAAATTAGAAAAAATAGGTGGGAGAGAAAAATAAAAGAGAAAATACAGTTGGAGGGCAGAGCATCGTTAGCGGTCCATTAAAAAAGTTGTTGTTTATTGGCTCCTCTTTATTTCAGTCTCAGTTGCTCCCACTGTCTGATAAAAAGACTGTGTCTTGTGTTACAGGGAGAATACAAACTAGATTTTTTTTGTTTGAGCTAGAATGTTGTACGTTTGTCCTCACAATCCCTCTCTACCATGGCAGTAGTATCAGTATTGCCAGAAGAACTGTGATCACGTGCAGTGGTTGAAGCTGTTTTCTCACTGTCATGCATGAACCATGTAGTTCACTTGAAGGAGGGTGAAAGGGAGAAAAAGCCATTCATTTGAAAAATACCAAACAATTATTCTTAAATAAGTTTTTTTTTTACCATTTCTTTCTTTTAGTAGCTATACTGTTTTCATTTCTTTGCTCACAAGCCAATATGGGCGTGGTACTAATATGCCAAGTCCTTGTTCACTTGTAACCACGGTGAAGAAAAAGCTGCAATGCTGCAAAAGCATATTTATTGTCGTTCAAATGTAGGTCGTGTTTTGTAAATGCACTATAATATGGAGTTGCCTGAACTTTTTTGGTTTGGTGAAGTGGGTTCTTGTCCTAGTTTTTGTGTTTCTTATCAGTTTTAAGTATTTTCATGCTTCCCTGTGTATTACTGGAGGGTAACCCGACTGTTTGTGTTGCTTTTTTTTATTTCTTCCTTTTTTGTATTAAACCTCCATCCAAAAAAGTACAGATGGATGAAAATGGAGGTGCGCAAGTTCACATAGAATGCTGCGATTAAAGATGCCTTAAGTATTTAACAATCATTATTTATTACTAACTGTAGCTAGCTAGCTATTGTGGTGGAATATTTAATGTTTCTATTTCATAACTTTGCAATTTAATCAATATATTTATTTAAAATAACACAAAATATTAAAAAAAAAAAAGAATACCTCATTATGCATTGAGTGGTGAGGATGCTTCTGCATGCCGTCTGTGTTTGGGGTTTTTTTTTTTTCGAAGAAGAAAGCAGAAAAATTGTAGAAAAACTAACTGAAGGTTGTTCCCCCAACACATTTTTTTTAACCAGCATGGTGCTGATGATCTGGATTACATTCCATTCCTGGAATGCCATTCCTAATTCTACTGTTTTTGTTTGTTTAGCTTCTTATGATGGGAAACTACTACTTTCCGTTTTAGTGTGGCTCCAGATTTTTGTTTACTTTTATTTTTACATTAATCACAAAGCTTTGTTGTCCCATAATCAGTCATTACTTTAACATTGTATTTGTATTTTTTGTGTTGATTTGGGATATTCAATCATATCTGGATCTCGATTCAGTGCTTTTTACTTTAGGATCCGCATCACAAGCTGTAATTGTTCTTCAGTGTTGCTGGCAGTCGCTTTGTATGGGAGTTTTAGAAGTACGTAACATGCTAACTTGAGCCATTGATCTTATTGAGCAAACTTCTGGTGTACTGTGGTTCTACCATATAGATAGCGTGTTTTACACCTGGGTATTATAAGCTAACTATGTTCTGAGTGTGCATTTTCTTATTAATACTCTAATACTAATTCTGGCAAATGATTATAACATGTATTGGATTTGAATGAAGCTAGCTGGTCTTACTATTGTCTTTATTTCATATTGTGCTCTCACTGGCCTTACTTTGTGCCTCCCCCCCCCCCCCCCCCAGTAGCCATAGTATTAACTCAAGCTGATGAACCGGAATGAACAGCAGAACTAAAAGCACAAGCTTTTTAATGCATGTCCTTCTCAGGTTTTCCTATGTGTATGTGGGAGTAGCTCTTTAGATGTGTTTAATATGATGCTGTACCTTCTTGAATATTTCAGATGTTTCTTTGCTGCTGAAAAAAAACAAAACAAAAAACAATGTTCGATTATTAACCTGCCAGTGAAAAAGGGAAGTGGCCATCTTTGTACAACACACTGCTGTTTTGCTGTAAGTGCGCAATGTTTTATGATGAGTATTTTATAGAAAAGTAGAAGTATGTATCAATAATATGAAAGCAATAGCTAATTCATAATGAAGAATAACATGATCAGTGAATACTGTGGAAAATCTTTAGATTCACTCTGGATGGATTTTGTACTGTATTTATTACTAATGATGATACAAAAAGATTGCATAGCTTAACCTAAACTGTTCTGTCTCTTTTTTATTTATTGTCTTGTATATGATCTTTTTGTATGTGTTTTTCAAATAAACTGCCTAAAATGCTGACAACTAACCAAGTGTCCTGTTTATTTTTCTAACCTAACCAAACATGTCACATGTCACTGGTTATTAGTCGGTTCCAGAACTGTTTGACAGGTGCAGACTGTCACATGGCCCACATTTACAGTACATTTGTACACGTAAGAAGCTGAGAAAGAAACACGTTTTTAAGTCCACTCACTTTTTCTTTAAAATCAACATTAATATTTAACATATACTATAAATATATTTCAGTTTCAAGCAGCCATTGGTTCATGTTCGTTTGACATTTTACTGTACGAGTTTGAATGTTTGTTCTCTATATGTGGCCTGGACTGAATATATACAAATATATATAAATATACAAAGCTGTTGTTAGGAAAATGACTTCATTTTCATTTTCAATTATTGGTACAGCAAAACAGATCTGATCTAAACTCCTGATTTTCAGTCAAGTCTGAAGTTTAAAAAAATAGTAACATTTAAAGATTTGTCTAAATGTTTTTTTTGACTAG